CACACCAGGCCGGCACTTGTGCCGTTTCGTTACTCGGCTTGGGCGAGAGCGAATCGTCGTAAGCCATAAGTAACCGGCCGCGGAGAGGAGATTACAGTACGAAGCGCGTGCGTTGAACTCTCGCAAGTAGAGATAGCCGCCTCCTTCCTGCTTCACGGCGAATGCGAATGTCGACCTTAAGCTTCCGATGCGCGAAGGTCACCCGCCGTGAAGCGAGGATCATCGAACCCGGCGTGTTCGTGGCCGATCGTGAATAAAACGCTCGATATATCCGTGTGATCGGGGAAACTTGTCTAATAACCATCGGGAGAATAGAAGTCCTTGAGCCGTGAACGACGCTCACCACCGATCGGAAAGATCGTAAGAACGGTGCGAAATTTCTCTTTGATAATTTCCCCTCCCCTACTTATCTCAAATTTACAATCTCGAACTTTGCGCTCCAAGATAATTTTATGATGAGTAATAATTTAATATTAGATGTCTATTTTTAATAGAGATGTCGTGAAAAAATAAAACTTATATTAGACGTTTTAATTCCTTATCACCCTTATCGCGCCACCGTGACAGCTTCTATCGCACGTTTCTACGTAGATTATTTTACAGTTCCTATTATATAAATGCAATTTTTAAATTTTATGATCATTTTTTCTGTGACAATCAATATACGTCTTATCGTAAGTAGCTTCGATTCAACTTGGAGATGTTAAGGGAAACCTCGAATACAAAGGTGCACCTCTTATGATTATAAAGCACCTGGACGAAAAGAGAAACGAAACTTTCACTTGGGCTCGCGAGAGCGCAATGTCGTAGAGTTTCTCACGCTTTCCTTTGTATCGACCCTTTTCTATAGATAGTAAACTAAAGTCCATATTCTAAGAAGAGGTCCTCGACTCCTTAATTGTGACTCGTGCTGACAAAAATCGAAATCCTGGCGTATAATAAAATCTGCGATGTTCGTCGAGAGTATTTAATATTTTATCTAGAATATTTCGCTGTTGCTGTTTAAATCCGAATTCGAGATGCGCGATTCTTCCAGTTTATCATCTTCGGGAAGAATGACGTCTCGATGTCGATAGATAAGAAATTTCACCTCTTGTAATAAAACGAAAAATGTTGATTTTTTAAATAATAAATAAACTGCATATAATATCCCGCGAAATTTGTTATAAAAGGAAAAAGGTCGAAATTTAATTAGCTGATTTTCTAGCTAGCAATATTGTACTCTGTTTTTCGAGATGGAGAAGCTCTGCTGGTATAACTCGTCAGATTTTTTGGAATCGGCTCTGTATTCGCTGCAATGATTGAACCTCCGAGCCTCAATATAAACGTACAAACCTTTTTCGCTCGCATTTTTTTAAATTCGAGATACGTAAGTGTCATTTTAATATCCACGAATTGGCGAGACCTGCATATGCGCGGTTTTGACATCTTTCGGTTTGTCGTGGAAGAATGGCATTTCGATTATCAAGGTGTATTTATCTCATTCTGTAATAAAACGGAAAAGTCAATATTAGTATTTTTAATAATAAGAAAACTGTGCTTATGATAAGTAACATTACGAGCTCTTGAGCAAATAACATGCAAAACTCGACGGGTTATAAAGGGAAGAAAGTTGAAATTCAACTATGAATTTCTACTGTGATATTGTACTTTGTCTTTCGAGATGGACAAGTTCTACCGGTAAAACTAGTCAAATTCCACTTGCAACTGGCTCTGTAGTCGCTGCTTTGTAATAATTAAACCTTTACGAGCCTTAACATAAATGTATAAATCTCTTTTGCTCGAGTTTTTTAAAATTTAAGATACGTAATTAGGGAAGATTGAGGTAAAATAAATTAAGATTAGCAGGGACAAGTTGTAACATTTATATATATAAAAAAACCTGTTATGAACAGGATACAAAGCATAAAAAAAGAAAGTTTGTAATGGCATTCTAGTACAAACTTCAAGCTTCTTCTTACTCTTTTATATCTTGTTTGCAACATTTTTTTATATACGTGTCACAACCTGCTTCTGTTATTTTTTACCCCAGTCTCCCCTATCATTTTACTATTTAGAAATTCGAGATTGCAAGCGCGATTCTGGTGTCTTTCGGTTTATCATAGAAGAAACATCTCAATAAGCAAAAAACTTATTCAGCTTATACACTAATATCTCTTGTACAGTCATGGACACATCGGTTGCGAAACTTGCTTTTTTATAGGTTTCAAAACGCACTAATATTTTGCAAATGCGGACCACGATTGTTATACTGTCTCTAGACTAAAGATAGTACATCGTTGTTCGCATTTGCAAAATATTACTTATCTATAACGTATATATTATGTATATTAAATATATATTAGAAACCTATAAAAAAAAGTGTCGCAATCGATGTGTCCACGACTGTACAATAATAAACAAACGAGTCAATATTTTTAATAAAGGCAAATTACGTATCTATATAATTGTTTTGTGAAACTCGATTGTTGTAGGCTGTTGGAGGGACAAAAGTTGAAACTCACCAACGGATTTCTAACCAGCGATATTGTATTCGGTCTTTCGAGATGGAGAAATTCTCCTGGTAGAACACATCGAACGGCGATTCCACTTGTAATCGCTGCGATGATTGAACTTTAACAAAACGCTTTAACAAGTCTTTTTTGCTCACGTTTTTCAAGTCCGAGATACACAAGTATCATTTTAATATCCACGAATTCGAGATCACACGTGCATGTATGGTAGTATTTTCTGATTTTATAATGGCAGAATGACATTATCGATAGGCAAGAAACTTGTCCAGCTCTTGTAACAAAACGAGAAAGTCATTATTAATATTTTTAATAACCTATATATATTTGTATAATGTGTCCTGTGAAATTCAACGTGTTATAGAGCGAAAAAGGTTGAAATTATATAAATTTCTAACCAACAATATTATATTCTGTCTCCCGAGATGAAGAAATTCTTTAGCTGGTAGAATTGCTCGTCAGATTCCTCTTGCAACTGGACTCGGCGGTAATCGCTGCGATGATTGAAGTTATTGAACCTCTCCGAGCCTCAACATAAACGTACGAATCTATCTCTTTCGCTTGTGCTTTTTAAAGCTCGAGATATATGCGGCGTATATTTAATATCCACGTACAATCTCTACGTACAATCTCATCTGTTTCGTGTATTGTATCATAATTTCGATGACGAAAGTCATAATAAAGAATTCTAAGTGTTTCGTTGCGCTTCAAACCGCTTCGATGCCACAATTAAATTCTCGGAATTTAATTTTTATTATCTCGACGATCGTCACGGATGTTTACACGCGTCTGATTCTAATCAGTCCCTTTCTCCTTGTTATGACTTTGTATGAAAGGAGATCTTTTTCTTTCCCCCCACGAAGTTTATATACACTTTCCTTTCTATACTTTCATCAGTCATTCGAGAAAGGAAAAAATTCTCATTCTCGGACCACGATAGAAAAATCACCGATCACTCGCTTGCCAACTCGACGCGACATAGCGTCGGCCAGCACCATTTTCTCCCGCACAAGGACACGCATCGTGACGGTAAGATGACCGATAAAAGCCCTTACGCACAAAGTTCGCCATTAGGCGAATAGATTTGGCCGCGGGCTACCGCTCGTTCGCCAAGGTCGTAACGCACTACGCTGACGTCAGAGATCATTGACTTCTCCTGAGGTCTCGACCTTCTCGCGTCTTTCTTCCTTGTCTTCCTTCCTCGTCTCTCGTTCGCGATCGTCCGTTTTAAGTTTCTTCCTCTTTCTCTAGATACCCGTTAATTTTATATTCGACTATATAGTTAAGCTAAGGCAAATGAAATCCACAAGAACTTCACAAGCGACATTCCTCGTATTTAATGTTCCGTCACCAAAAACGAAGACGAAAATTCTCGATCCCAATCCGTGATGCATATATTAACACGAAGTCCATGCGGCGCGCGCGCGCGCGCGCGAGAGAGAGAGAGAGAGAGAAAGAGAAAAAAGAGCAGTCACATGTGTGGAACCGTTACCGACAAAGGCAGACGGAAAGAAAAATGCCCCCGTCCTTCGAAATAACAAAAGTCACGCCTCTACCGTTAAAGCCGTTTGTGTATTCTTTAAGGGAATTGCGCAAGCAGGCCGAGGATCATTCGATTCGACCCTGGATCTCCACGCGCGCCGCTCTCTCCCCCGACCCCGCTCTGTCCCCTTTTACGCTACACCGTAATGTGTATGCTGGTACTTGTAGTACTTCGCCTTCAAGGCCGATTTCGGCCGCACAATCGAGAGAACTTTGTTCGTGCTGAGAGCTTTTCACGGGCTTGAAACATTAACATATAAACGAATCGTCCGCGCACATCGGTCGCTTCTCTCTCTCTCTCTCTCTCTCTCTCTCTCTCTCTCGAGAGAGAGAGAGAGAGAGAGAGAGAGAGAGAAAGTAAATTCCGAATAGATGTCTAGCTTGCAACAATGACACTTATTTCTTATGCAAATAAAGAAGGAATACTAATTGAATGTAAGTACTTAAAGCGCGAGCAACTCGTAAACACGGTCAGATAGCCGCGGCATGATTCAACCATGACGACAATTTAGGTACTATATTTGAGCTGAATAATCCATAATCATCGGATATGTCTTCTAAGAGTTCAATCGCTGCTTGGGCAATTTAACCGACGCCATTCAAAACACAAAGGGAATGCCTCGAATTTTTTAAAAAGTCCTCTGGTTCTTTCTCGCCAAGAAGAAATTTTGTCTTGTAAGAGATTGTTTCCCGAGCCAATTTCTTCCAGAAGTTGTGGAAATTTTTCCGAGGTATTTCCTAACCATGAGTATTTGCCGTGGGGTTCCAGTCACTCACGGGATCCAGTGGGACCTGTGGAACGGATTGATTTTGTAAACCTGCGAGTGGACACCCACGACGACGGCTGTGGTGTTTGCGTAGGCATATTAGCGTAGATAGATTAAGCTAGCTTAGATTAAGGAGATAGACTCTGACGTGGTATCGCATTTGAAGGTCTTATGTGCACAGGTGAAGGTGGTTAAGTTCAGCTACATGTGGACGATAAACAACTTCAGCTTTTGCCGCGAGGAGATGGGGGAGGTGCTCAAGTCGTCCACGTTCTCAGCCGGGGCCAACGACAAGCTGAAATGGTAAGATGATCCTCGCTCGACGAGTGTGAGCCGCGGGTTATGGAGGATCCGCGGAGTAAAAGAAAAAGAGAGAAAAATTGTTTAAGATTCTTTGCATTGCATACGAGCCGAAGCGAAACATTAAAACATCGTGCATCGATCTCGATCGCGAGGTTCCGTAGTATTGAATTGCGCGAACGGGGCGATTAGCGGGGACATTTGCATCTATTGACACGTTCAATTTGGCGTTAAGTGGATGGGGGTTTGAGTGACGACGCGTGCGCGGATAATAATATAGTCTGTATAATTCGCGCCGGATTTACTTTGCAAAGTGGACGCGCGCGTAATCGACATTGCAAATCTCGCGGTCTTTGTTCCGCGTTGATTCCATAGTCCGTATAGGCATGATCGAGTCTTGAGTCTCGCCTTGAGTCAGCACACGCTCGGTGCGTTCTCCACGTGTGGAAAAACACGAGTGTCGGAAGTCCTAGAAATGCGAGCCGCCCGCGCGTTTAGCGCCTAAATGAGAAAATACGGTGAGAATACGACTAGCCATTGTCTCTCCCTCTCCGTCTGATCGCGTACTACATTCCCGCGGCTTTATTTTCCTCGTCGCACGCGCGTTTGGCACGACACGCTTGGAGAAAAACGTGTGCAGAGACGGGACGGCGGGACACTGTCAATTTGCGATCGGTTTTCAAATTGAGGCGAAGAGGAAGAAATAAATTAATTAATAAATTAATAAATTTCAAGGGAGATGCGCAATTAGCGTCGCATAAGAAGGGGACGAAAAGAAACGAGAAATCGCCGTCGCGAAGCGGCGCGGCGGCAGCGCGGTCGTGTCAATTGATGCGCTAATTGGTTTCTAGGTGCCTGAGAGTGAATCCTAAGGGCCTGGATGAAGAGAGCAAAGACTACCTGTCGCTGTATCTCCTTCTCGTTTCGTGCAACAAATCCGAAGTCAGAGCAAAGTTCAAATTTTCTATTCTTAATGCCAAAAGAGAAGAAACCAAAGCAATGGGTAAGTCACAATGGCCAAGAGAAAAGAAAAAGGAAAGAGAAAAACATGTTAAACGCGCAATTAATGTCGACGTGTGTTGTACGTATGTAGTGCGAATGCAATGCAGGGTATTTTAAAGATTTTCGTCGGCTCGCTGCCACGCGCGCGATTATAACGCGACGACGATTCTCGACGAAAGAAGTTGAGGGCTTTCAAACCGCGCCGTCCGCGACCGTACCAGTACGCGCGTCTAACGCGATAAAGTTGGATAACGCGATCCGTTGAAAGACAAGGCGGTTTCAACGGGTCCTTCCCTCGTTTTATTCTTCCAGAGAGCCAGCGTGCTTACAGGTTCGTTCAGGGTAAAGATTGGGGCTTCAAGAAGTTCATCAGGAGAGACTTCCTTCTGGACGAGGCCAACGGACTGCTACCGGATGACAAACTCACGATATTCTGCGAGGTATATAACTTTGTATGTCGTTTGTCACACCTACTCGATCTTACTACTCGCGCATACCTCGTCAACCGAGCCAGCGCTTTTAACTCCGTTATATGTTTCCGCAGGTCAGCGTCGTGGCGGACAGTGTAAACATCTCGGGGCAGAGTAATACGATACAATTTAAAGTGCCGGAATGTCGGCTGCCCGACGATCTTGGGCTGCTGTTCGAGAGCCAAAAATTTAGTGACGTAACGCTCACTGTCTGCGGAAGGGAGTTCCAGGCGCACAAAGCAATTCTCGCAGGTTAGTTTATACCCCCAAATGATTCCCCCAATAGGTTTATTCTCTTATCTTGATTCTGTCATCTTGATTGCTTGAATGTCAAGCTTAAAGACCAACTCTGAGCAAATTTTCGTTGGAGGCCATCAAGGCAGGCCGCGAGAGGTAATTGAAGAGTATCGATATCGACTACCGTTGATTGGAATTTTATCATTGTTAACATAAATATTTGATTTTAATACATTATTAACATCATGATTTTTTATTATGCAAACGCTTTATAAGTAAGCATCATGCATATATACTTATAAAGCTATATTCTATAACATCATTATATTTATATTGCCGCAAAATTACAAGTTTCTTTTCTATACAATTATTAATACATATTATTTGTGTTATTAAATCTTATCTTATTAATCAAACACGGATGATAACTATAAAAATGTGATTTTAAATCAAATTAAATATATTAGCAAGTTGTAAATATATTCAGAAAACATTGTTCTAATAATAATAAAAAATCATAAAGTAACGTTATATTATGGGCTAATTTTGTTTAAATTTAATAGCTACGCTAACTCCATAAATTTGTCGGTCTTTAGTATTGTACTATTGTAGTATCACTCGCCGGAAATAAGGGCGTTTTCAGCCTAGAAAACTAGAGACAGATAACACAGTGAACTATTACATCTTTGTGTAGGAATATAAGACCGTAAAAGGTCGATTTCGATAAGGAAGGTATTGATAGGAGATTGGGATAAAGTGGAATATCACGGGAAGTAGTGGAGCGCCATGCAGCAGCCATTCCAATCTAGGAAGAAGAACGAATAATCCTAAATTCGAAATCTCGATCAGTTCCATTAATTTTTCCGTGTCGTATACTTGTTTAACATAATTGGCAAACAACAAGGATGTAGTAATGATTTATTGTGTTACACTGTGTCATCTATATCTCTTGGTGGAAAACATTCTATGATAGAATTACAATGCACAAAAATATAAAACCTTATTTCTTCGAATAAAATTATGAATATACTAATAGTGCGCGAGTGGTAGTGACGGAACCTGAATAATTTTGCAATTGCGATTTGCAGCGCGAAGTCCTGTTTTCTCGGCGATGTTCGAACACGAGATGGAGGAGAGAAAGAAAAATCACGTTGATATCACAGACGTGGACCACGAAGTTCTGAGAGAAATGTTGCGATTTATCTATACTGGTAAAGCAGCAAATCTGGAGAAGATGGCGGACGATCTGTTAGCCGCGGCGGATAAGTACGCGCTGGAGAGGCTGAAGGTGATGTGCGAGGAAGCACTTTGTACGAGTTTAGCCATTGAGAACGCGGCTGAAATTCTCATACTTGCCGATCTCCATAGCGCTGATCAGCTGAAGGCACAGGCGATAGACTTCATTAATACGTAAGTTTTCACGGAAGAGAATTCTTCTCACAATCAGAGACATTAAAGTTCAAAATCGAGACACGAGATTAGGGTCTTTAAGATGCGTTTTAGATGCATTCTCACAAAGGTGTTTTTAAGACGTTTTGTGTGTTTCGATTTTAGACTTTATGTTGTCTGCGATATTATGTCAGCTCGTCGGCTAAAAAGATAATTTTGCTCTCCCAACGACGAAAATTATAATATTCTTTGGCTGTGCGGGGTGAACTCGCGGCAACAGGACTTGCGATATCACTAATTCACGCGGACGCTTTTGCAGACACGCGACGGACGTGATGGATACCGTGGGTTTCAAGTCCATGGTGAATTCTCATCCGCACCTGATAGCGGAGGCTTTCCGGGCTTTGGCGACCCAGCAGATCCCACCGATTGGACCGCCCAGGAAACGAGTGAAACAGAGCTGAAAGCAGTCACCGCTGACCCCGGGCACGACCTCCACATCGCCTCCACCACTTTTGCATCCCTCTTGAACCTTTGTGTACAGTGATATAATGATGAAGTATAGTAGTGCTAAATAAATGTTTCCTAGTGCGCCTCTGGTCTAAAATAAAAAAGAATCGACGACAAGGACCGACGGCGGAAATCATCCGATTATCCGACGAAACTTCGGTTTCGGAGAGTACTCAAATATATCGATGAGAGGAGAGAGAGAATCGTCTTGTCCGTTCAGTCAATCGAGGGCGAGTTTATCACTCCCCCCCACACACACGCACACACGCTCGGACTCTTGTGTTCAAGTGTGTAAGTGTTGGTAGTGAGGAGAACTCGACGTGACGCGGCCATCATCAGCAGTGCTGTTCGTTCCATTTCCGCGCGTTAATAGAGAGAAGAACGAGATGTCCGAAAGCAGCCTACGTATTCGCATTCACATTCACACATCCCCCCATCAGCATTTGTGAACTATACTTCTCGGCCGGTCTGAGCGCGAGTTGATTCAGCAACAGCACAGCAGCATCATAGTCGCATTGCGCTCGTTTTCTTCAATGCCAATACCGATGCCAATCGAGCTTGGCGACACGTTGGAACGTGTCATCAGGATTATCATCGTCATCGGACTCGCTTTCGTTTTTGTTGTCATTGAACGAATGGACCAGAAGCGGATGGACGGTCGCGCGCAAGACGTTAAAAGACATACGGAATATACAGCCAGAGAGGACCAAGGAAAGGCGACGAACTCGTCGCGATTGCCGTAACAGCAGCAGCAACAACAACAACAACAACAGCGCCCGATGCACGAAGGAAGTTGTGATAGACGTCGGCCAGACGATTTAAACATTTTGTTCCTTTGTCAGAAAGAAAGAAAGAATAGCACGAGGAGAAAAGATGGATCAAACGCTTGTCCCCTAGCGCCCCGTACGCTCGATGCGTCGAGAGTACAGAGAGAATTAGATACTTTGTTTGTTTTTACCGATAGTAGTGATCTTTTTTAGTTTTAGCGCGTCTCAAACTCTTCCAAGACGGAGAAAATAATTCTAGTTAGTGTTCTTTTTTATGATCTCTTTCTCTGAATTACACATGTACGATTATATTATTATTACTATTAATGCTACGCAATCTGTGCCCTATGTATTTTTGTATATTTTTGTCTACAGGTAAAGAAACTCATCTTTCCTTCCTATCCCTTTTGCCGCGATAAACCCTTTTTCCCCCGCCCCCCCTCCCCCCATTCCCCGCCAAGTTAGTAGGCACAGTTTGTCTTGTTTTCTGGAGTATTGCATACTGTAAGCGAAGTGATAGGATCGAATTATTATTATTAATTATTAGTAATGATTATGTTATTAAATTTAAGGTTGTCCATAATTTATATTATATCGGATCTACGTTGAATGTATCGTGGGGATATCTGTCCGCGCATTGCTGGTTACATTACGTTATTTTAGAGACGTTATGATCCGTATATTTCGAGGTTGGTGAACAACGTTAATGCACGTTGGAATAAAAATGGACGAAAGAAGAATGAGGAAAGAAAAAGCATTAAAAAAAAAAAGGATCGTGTAAAATAGGAAACGTTAGTCAATTATATAGCGCGGTCGTTCATCGCTCCCCTTCTCATTTCGTGTCGTTAATTTGATTGGTCTGCAAAAATTGCGTGTGGTCAATGAATCTGAATTATGGGCAACCGCAGAGGCGAAAATAAATAATCAATCGTTTAGTACCGTGTACTGGCTTCCTGATCCTCCGATCTTTTAGCTTTACCGAAAGCCGAGTTTTAAATATGTGGAATACTTATTACCATTTACACATCATTAATGATGACAATTAATGCCATACATGTTCTGTGATAAGACCACTTGTAATTACTGCAATTGTATAATCGATCCTTTCTAGAGACAGACTTACCCCCCGATCCCCCCTTCCCCCTTGACGATCCTGGCAGCCAGTGAATTTACTTGTTATATAAAATACATATGATAAGCGACAGTCGTTTTCCGAACAGTCCCAAACCTAGCGCGATCACTATCGATTTTAAGATTTTTACACTGTACATATCTGCTGCTGTGTATTTTATAAGAATGGAACAAACTCACACGTACGAGGATCCCATACTTTTACGAAAACCGTACAATAATTAACAATATTTAATTTATTTCAATTTTTACAGACTGCGCTAAACTCATGTTCCTTGAAAACACACTATGCTTTAATTTTAAATATAATGTAACGCCGAAAAATTAATACAGATTAGGAGATATACGCCATTCGTTGTGTAGTGCCATCGGGCGATGAGATATTGCGTCAAAGATCAAAGATTGAACCGGATGGAAATCTAGTTAGAAGAATTTTTCACTGTTTTCTACATCAATCTTTTTATTTGGGTCTTAGAATGATACATAGGACTTAAATAAGAAGGAAAAAAAATAAAAAAATATAAGTATATTAGACACAAAAGCAGGTATAGTAGCAATTTAAGGAACAGATTTTGGCCAAGTGCTAATTCACATTTTTAAAAATCTGCGACCATTCTCCAATTCTCATATCTATCTTTGGGACTGTGCGGCGATTTTTCTTTCGTGAACACACACACACACACACACACACACACACACACACACAAAGTTGAATGTCATTTCTTAAAGAAAACAAAAGAAAAGAAATGGAAAAAATTTACGCGAAGGGCAGAATTGAGTTAATTCTGAGATAGCAATTCGTAAAATACAGAAAGAAAAAACAATATACTGTACACATACATACACACACACACACATGTACACACAGATGTAGGCGCAATTCCGTACGAATCCGCAGCAAAAATAATACGAGCGTATGACTGGATATAATTTGATAAACTATTAAGTACAAGTAAGACAAGTGTTACCTCATCATGATGAAAACCGGCGCGTGTCGATGATCGGAGATCACTACCGCCACTAGCTACTACCGCACGTCCGCTCTCTGACACTCACACAGACAGACAGAATACCTATTGTACCAAGATGAGTCAAAGAAACGGGAAATTTTCTCTGCGTAATGTATTAATTAAAATTAATTGAATGAAGTTTCCAAGTTTTATTTCTCTTAAAATTTTTCCGTTCTTTGGCCCACCCTGTATATTGCATTTAAAAATTCGAAGCGCTCTTTTGTAACAATTGATCGTTGCGGTAGTGACTGATTAGCGAGAAGTGTTACGCGCGTCGCTCATTGAACCCGGCTCATACACGCAGACATTCATTTTCCATTTTACTTTAAGTCATTGCACCACATCAAATAAATGACATTTTCATTATATAACAATGGATCGTGATTTTTTCATTTACCTCTCCATCGCGTTTACTTTATCGCGTTTACGATACTTGAATCTCTCGATGTGTGAATTTAGGAGATTACTGAGATTATCGATCGAGATACGATATTGTATCACGACCGATTCTGAAAAAAATTCAGAAGATTTTGGACGATTGAAACTCAGAAAATGATGCAACGAACACTCGTAGTTGTACACGACTATTATATTCCGCTATCAAATCGAAGCGATGAGAATCGCTTTTTCTTAAATCTACGGATTACATTTATATATATATATATATATAT